TCCCTTTTTTTCTTTTCAAATTTGTGCTCTTTATCTCGTAGACTTTGTAATTACATAGATCAACTCGTGGTCGGGGCCAAACGGCGCAACGCCATGCACGAGTCTTGTGCCGCAACTGATCTATGTAATTGGCAACTGGCTTATCGTTCCACGCAAAGCCCGAGGATGATCATTGATTAGAGTTGCAAGTTTTTGGTTGTATTAAACCACGTTTATTGACTGAAGATGTACGGCGTCGCAACAATTGCCGATGGTGGACGAGTTCTCTGTGCATTAGAACTTGTCTGAAAAAAGAGTTTTGAAAAGTCAGCCACAAAGTCAAAATATTCGTGCACAAATTCCAGTTTATCAACAGGCATTCTTCGGAAATCTTCCCTTCGATGGAGTCCAGGGTGACATTGAACAAATCCTGAGACACGTAGGATTTACGGAAGACGAGGTGAGTGTGAAGTTTAGTCACATCTGTTTCGACAGAATCAATTTTTTTGGGAAAAATGCAAAGTAGTCGAGGCTCTAAGTAAACGCAGCTTCCTGTGGATGTTTGCCATAAACAGGTGCGCCGTATGGGGATTACATTTCGCGTATTTTGGCATTTACGCAATGACAAGTGTGTTCACTTCCCCACAGGAGACGGGGGTCGATAATTGTTTCAGAAGGATGTGTGGTACCCATTTCCTACTTCTAGTGGTAGGATCATCCCTATCTATATTTCTACCCTTCGGACTCCATTTCCTGAGCGCGCGTTAGCAGGCCTCGAAAGTTGCGACGCCAAGTACCCAGCTTCGTATGGGGTCTTTTTTAGAGTAGGCTTCAAAGATGCTTTTATTGTAATGTACGCACTTTTCCCTTGGCGACAATGTGATGTGAAAAATTTTTGATTAAAGGTTTTTGCGCAATTCTTTTACTATCGAGTCACATTTTTTCAGATACGCCTAATCCATATCCGTATGGTTCGTGATCGTGAAACAGATAAATTTAAAGGATTCGCCTACGTCGAATTCAACAGTGCCAAAGATTTGGAGAAGGTTTTGGAGTGGGATGGCGTGGTACATTTCATTTAAATTGAATCTATACTTAACAACCGAACTACGTTTATAGCAAAGATGAACGATCATGATCACGTTGAAGGAATTTGGGGGTCGTCCACTCAAGATAGACGTTGCGTCGCAAAGGCCCGGAGGTGATCGAAACAATCGTGGAAGGGGTGGCCGAGGAGGTGGTGGCGGATGGACCTCGGTTGATCAACGTACTGGGCGTGGTCAAGGCGGCGGCGCATATGGTGGTCGTGGAGGTCGTTCCCGTTACGGTCATTCGGAGCGCGGTCATGACGAGCAGGTTGAAATTGGTTAGTGATGCCTTTATACTGGACTCATCATTATTATTTCCTGAGAAAACGTTTACATTTTGCTTTTTTTTACAGTCGAACATCCCGAACGTCCACGCCTAGTCCTGAAGCCGCGCACAACTGATCCTGCAGAACTGGAGGCAAAACGAAAGCGAGAAGCCGAGGAGGAAGCTGCGCGCCGTGCAAAGCTATTCCAGGCCTAAACTTCAGGGTTACTTCCAGTTTTTTGAATCAAATAATGGATTCTAAGGGTACAAAATGTGCTTCCTATATTATTCCTTATCTTGGCCACTAACAAATGCTAATTACTAAATAGTAATTAAATTCAGCAATCGGATGTACTCTTTTGAAGTGGTTTTGTTGCTCTTATCTCTTTTAACGTAGGATAATATAGCCCGGTTTTGATTCTAATCTTATTTGCGCCTGTGGTTAATTGACAGTGAATGTTTTGCGGTAACTTGTTTTCAACTTCATTCGATATATAGCTTGTTAATAGTTTACTGCTCGATCAAATTCCGTTACCCACTTTTATACTGCAGCTTACGATTTTTCCCCATTCACTGGGAATTGCCTTGTTTAGCGTTGACCGATACTGAATAGATTTTATCACTTTTATTTAGCTGTGCCACATGAGTTCATGCCTATTTAAATATGTAAACTTCCTTAAATTACAGTGAAATGTATTAGCACGACTGAATGGCGAGTATTCTGTTTAGATTGTTATAGTATTCGCGTCATTTACTTGGATCGAAATTTCTTTAGCTGTTGGTAGTTTAATCGATTATCTCACTTCAGCTCATAACGCATTGAGTTGTTCTATAAATTACCATTGTCTGTGCACATTTTTATGATTTCACTGGTATACCTCTCTGGTACCTGTGAGAGTTTGTTATTAAGGTGGCTTACTGTTAGAGTTTACCGGCACTTGTTTGTCTTTTTCTCGAATGTCATGCCGGTAATTGTATTTCAGGTTATGGATTCTGTGTGTTCATGTTTTCAATTGATTCTTATAAGAGCGTTTAATAAATATTTACGTTACCCTGTTCAGCGTTTTGTACAAATGTTCTAATCAATTGTATTAGGTAATCAAATGTATTAACCTGCTTTTCTGATAAAAATGCTACTCGTACTAAGTACTTATTTGATGGCATTGCTTGAAGAACCATATATGTTGTTACTTTTTTTCGGAAGGAGACACCCTAGTTCAGGTGTTGTAATGGTTTCGGAAACGGACGTACTAGAGAGGGTTTCGGAGAAGCTCAAACCAAGTCATTTGGTAACTTTCACTTGTTCTCTTCTTTCTTCTTTTCTACAAACATTGTTAATTTTGCTTACAAAATACTTATGGAGACCTGGTGGGTGGAGATTCTATTTCTAATAGTCGTCACAGTCGTCAATGTCAATCTCTGAGAAAATATTTACGTTAACTGCTAGACAAGGCCTAAAAAGGACCTCACGATGTGGAAGTCTTCACGTTATTTTGGAAGGTTTAGGAATCCATTTCTAGCAGTGGTTCACAGGTAAGAAATGCATGCTTACACGATGATCCCATCCCCTCTCTGTTTATGGTGTGTTTCTCTGTTTCCATGAGCATTGTGCTCCGGCATAAAGCTAAAAACTATATCTTGAATCTTCGGTCTCTGTTGACTTTATGGCTAAAGAATAGATCGAAGACATTTGTTGTCAGATATGGAATTGTCTCCGAGGGATATCTCTGCATTTATGACCATGAGAGCAGAACAGGCTGTACGACCTTCTTGGGAGCTCTTAACTAGAGCTTCCTTTCGAAGGTAGATAAATTTTCTTCTGCATTTGACTGTGCTCGCCTTTTCAGGAGGTATGATGTAGTTGTATAGGCATAGCTTGACCTCTTTGGTGGAAGCCCTGAATAAATAGGCATATAACAAAGACGAGAAAGAGCCTTTTTAATGTGTTTGAGTAGCACCTAATAGTAGAAGCTGTCTTCTGTATTCTATTTGAAATTGTTTCCACTCACTGATAGAACGATTTTTTTCCTTATATTCAGTTTGTTATTTGAGCTTGATAATTTTCCTTATCTGTTGTGAATAGTACCAAGGGTCTCACCTAGACCGACCTCTAACCAGACCTTTTGGTCATTTTGTATAAGAGTAGCTGCAGTTAACCAGTGCAATAGGCTGAAACAGTGAATTGACCTTAATCGATCCAGTTGTTCGCTCCCTTTTCAAAATAATGTGGATATAGAAAGGGCGTGAGCTATAAGCATACGAGATTCAGAGCACGAAATGGGCACATCGAACCAGCATTTTCCTACTAATAAGATTTCCCGAACTGGTACCTGGTACTATTAACTCGATCAAACTTCATGCCCGTAGTTTCTAGTACACGGGAACCGTCGTTATGACGAGTGGTCCAGAAGTTTCTGTTATAGGAATCCTAATTTCTACAGAGGAACACCCAAGGTGCTAATGCGTGACTTTTTGTCTTCAATAAATTCCAGATTGTTTAAAACTACTAATTAATATTTACTCAATACAACTGATGCTTTTTTTTGTTGTGTTGATCGTCATTGAACCACGGTTTCAGGAGGTCAAAGACCTCTCGGATGGCTGTGGTGCGAAATTTCTTATTGTTGTGGTGTCCGACGCTTTCAACGGGAAGCGAGTCATAGAATGTCACAGGTACAGCTTTCTTATCAATCCCTCGCAGAATACACCAGTTTACATCGGTTTAGCTTACGCAATCATTATGTTTCAATCTGACGTCCAAATCAGCCATAAATTGGTAGCAGAATAGCCTCTTTCAAGAACCTGCAAATTTCCAAAGTGATAAGGTCCCATAGTTACCTATAAGAAGGAAATTCATCTGTGTATTGAGTAAGCCAGATCCCTGCAATGCTCTCATCTGAGGGAACTGCAGAACGCCTCGTGAGGTAGCTCTTGATCGAAGAAAACTCTGCTCATATTTTACGCTCATCATGTAAAACCTATAAGAACCAATATCATGCCAGGGATCCACGCGTAACAATACATTTGCTCATTTGTCATCGCAAATACTTGCATTGGCTCCCAAGTCATTAACATCTTGAACGCTCCCAGCTTTTATCGAGAACGTTGGAATTGTGGTTGGAAACTGTTTTCAATTGAAGCGATAGTAAAGTTCCAAGCCTAACTCAAAGTGTTCTTCAGACTTGTCCAAGACTCAATCGCTGATATCATGCCAAAGATTCACGCTGTAACAATACAGCCCTATACTGAGGAGAAATGGAAGGCTTCAAAGAAATCAGATGATTGACTGTTTCCACCTGCCTCAGTGGCGTCCGTGCTTGGAAATCCTTGCATGCCATATTTGTATTTTCTCATTTTGCTATTATTTATTTTTCCTCACTCTTATTTAATGACCAATTTGGTCAGGATGTTGAAAAAACGCTCTCTTGAGGTGCTGACCAATTGTCCGCCATGAGTAGTATAGGTCCGAGTGAACAGAGTAACTTTTGTTGATAGTCTAGGCCGTAAGAGTTTTTTATATGTTTTAATTTGTTAATTAATAAATCATTTCGGATGTTTGTGATCTCTGTTTGGAGAAAAATAAATAAGCGTTGTTTTCATTGAGTTGCACACAAATATTCTATAATGTGTTATGTTCCAAAATATACTTCTTAGTATTATACCCAGTATTTCCCAGAATTCCTAGCTATTGGTATACCACTACTGGTATACCGCACCCTATCGAATTGGCCAGCTGCTGGGTTTTTCTAGCTCCCTTAGTCATACAGTTATGGAAGATTTTTCGTAGTGGTCGCAATAGCACCGTGGACCTTCGAATAACCATGCGACTAACACCCTAAATGGTTTTGAATAATTTTCATGTCGAGTGTTTTTTTTACTTCTCGAGTTCAGGATCATGATGAATCTGATTATGTAGGCTTATCCAAGAAAAATGGCAAACTGAACGCGGCCATTTGCGTTTCAGTTATAACTTCAGACCCCTTCACATGTAATAGCTCAATAGCTCAGTGTTGTGTAGATAGTATGATAGTCGCCCGAGTGATGTGAGAGTCGCATCGCACATGGGTGGGAATGATGCGAACGCACACCCGGATACGTAGGGCTTTCCACCGACTTCTGGTATAGCCGTCAAGTGTGCTTCGTGATGCATTCTACTAAGCGATTGGTTTTTGCGATCTTATACCTTCAATAGAGCTCATACAGGTTACACTGATACTCGACCTCTCTGTGAAATACCTCTGATAGTTCTCTGATGGAGGTAACACAATCTTAGTTTTTGCTCTCAAATGAAGCTCTTCAGTTTCCCTAAATCTAAGGTTCAGTATACCTAACACCGAGAAATGCTTTGAGAAGAATATCGTCAACGATAATCCTACTTTGTGGGGGTGTCTTTGTCCAAAAACCGGTACTGCCGGGAAAGTGCTCCTTAAAATTACCTTATAAAGATTAAGCCCTTTGAGTCAATGTTGAAGGAACCCAACACAACTAGCTCATACCTGCGCCACTCGATTGCCTAACTGGCTTCATTGAGATGACCTCGATGGCGCGTCTTGACCCAGCCTTTCATCCTTTGTCATTCTGAAAAAGCAACCTCAGGCTGTAACTTCTCGCAGAGCTCTGTTGCACATACTGGTTATCTTATAAGATAGGTTGCCTTGATATGCCTGGTTAGTCTGATATTGGTAGTACCATGCACAAGCGGATTCAGCTCGAACACTCTTGTGCAGCTTCTCAGAATAATTTGTCGTCGAAGGTGGTCATCATCGTACCGACGGGTTTGGTAGCTGCCAATGATGATGAACTCACTTTGACGGCGAATTACTCTATCCAATCTCAATGGGCGAATTTGGCGACGATCATAGTTTGGTTTTGCCATTTGGGGATCTTCTTTGCAGACATGTAAGAGGCCTTGGACAGTTCTTTTTCTCCTTTTGCGCTAACTCAGGACCCATCGAAACTATGCGTAAAAGCAAAGAGATTTCTGGAAAAACAAACACATTGTAGCTTCAATTTCTGTTTTGACTTTATGTTTTTTCTTGCTGTTATTTCGCCGCAGTACGCGTTCCAAAATCCTAACACAGTTGGCGATTTTCGACAAAACTTCAGTCTAGGACAGGAGTCGAACCCGTACTTGTGCTTTTCGAAGGACGAGTTGCTTCAGGCCCTTTATACCTTGTGACATGTACTAACACGAGCCATTCGCCCTGCGGCAAGCCACCTGGGTGGCGACGCTTGCGACGTTGGCGATTTTTGTTTCACTTCTTTCTCGTGCCACCCGAACTCTTTCTTTCTTCCCCTTCGTGAACTCTGGTGGGAAGGCGCCGTGATTGGAATGCGCCATGCATGTTGTTCACACTATTGTTCGATTTTTTGGCTATACTCGCGAAATGACATTGTATGAATTAAATGACAGAACAAACTTGCTATACCTCATCATACCATTCAAATAAACTGGATTTTCCCAAGTAATCAGGGAATTCACGTAACAAAGGTGGTTCTATGAACGCCGAGATTATAAGTGCGGATGTAGGAGCGTGAGCATGACTGCATGTGAGCGCGCATGTGTTGTTGATGCTGACGTGTTTTTCTTCTCTTACATTTCCGTATCCTGCAATCTCCTAGTTACATCATCACAAGTTGGAAGTCGCCCCACTGGAAAGCAACATTCAGCCATGAATTCACTAATGTTTCGAAAACGACACGGATTCATGAGGAAACCGCTGCATAAATGTCATCATGCAGAAGGTACGTCCTGATACAATCTGTTTTCGTTCTAAGGAAATGATTATCGAATGTCGTCAAATCTGAAAAAAAATATTACTACTGGTAAAGAAAACTGGTGGTAGTTCGAGGCCAAAAATGTAGCGGGGAAGAATTTCCATGTCATCAAATGAGCACCGAGCTAGCCGTCGCGTGGGAAAGCAACTGAAGTTCATAGGTTACTCCGCTTTGACATGAGGCTCACCGGTCAGAAAAAAGAGCAGAAGAATGGCTGGTGAGGCTTCTGCCTTGCAACAGACCGCCTACTTCGCCCACCCTATACTATAGCGATCGATGTAAAGGGTGGGCAAAAGTGAAATTGCATGGCTAGGAGCTTTGAGTGCAGTTTTTGTGTATTTGTTCGGCCAATTGAATGTTTCTGCTTTAGTTTTCTCATGTAAACTGGATTGGTTTAGGACGGTTGAGGATTTCGCTGAAATTAGGTGAGTTACTTTTCGTACCACCAAGGTATTAGATTGTGCTACATTGCAAAGCGGCTCGGGGTCTCCACGAAGTCGGGTGTTGACAACCTTTGCTAGGCCCAATGATCTAGCAATCTGTGAAGATCGGTGTGGAAGAAAAACCACCGATGTTGTCGCGAAGGAAGCAATACTGAACTCCCGCAGATTTACTTCGTCGTTTGACCTCTGGAACTTCATAACACTGTATCCGTTCCTTCAATTGTCGAGAAGATGAGCACACTCGAAGCTGCCAAGTAAGAGAAAAGGCAATGGATAGGCCAATTAGATCAGTTAAACAAGAACGAGTTGGGAGTAAGGATGGTCTTCGCAAACATAGCGGTAGAATCAAGATGTCTTCCAACGACGGTGAATATCTGGATTCGTTTGAATGCGAAAAATGTCTTGGAACAGAGAGATTTTGGGTAGGGGTTCGAAGAAGGTACCGTAAGGCGGTCCATCAGCTCACAGGGCGGAAATTGTTCAAAATCGATGCCAGCAAAATTCCTTGTTGTTCATCTCGCTCGAATAGTGAACCTGCAATGCTCCAATCTTAAACCGAGGGTTACCTGTTGTGGAGAAAACTGAAGATCGAGCCATGCTACATGCACCAACAAAACTTTGGCGAACTGGGGCATCTTATCGGGAAGTCAGAAGGTTCTTGCACTTGAGAAAGGAATATTTCCGTATCATCACAGATGGACTTCGAATACCAGAACTCCTTCCCGTTAATTATACTCATTTTTATCAACGACCTCCGTCCCTTGGCTTTCACTAATGTCCCCTTTTTTCTGGAAAAAGACGAACTGGTGGTGGAGAATCATAGCAAGTTGTAGGAACTGCTTCCATATGACAACGTGTTGGGTTGGAAATCTTCATCCAGTTTTCACTTTCAACACCTTCGAGTATGAACCCTGTACCGGCAAGGACAAGCACATCAGTGCTGAGAAGATCTTCTTGAGGGTGGAACGGATCCGTGCTGTTCTTCTTATGGATATGATCTGTTGGAACTACAAAAATAGAGTTTCCTTCTGTTGCTTTTGATCTCAATCCACATCTATCAATCTTTGATGATTAAACTTTTTTCACGTCTCGGGTCTACAGTCGCGGATGCACCTCTGTAACTGAGCTCGAGTCTGCC